TACTCATGACTGGCTCATGATAAAAGGCAATGACTGGCCATGTGGCCTGATGAAGTCCTAGGACACAGAAGGGTCTTTTTGGGACTTTATCAGTCTTAGCACAGGCAATTTATTTTGAGCCAGAAAAATAAAACATAATCTTGGGCCATCTGGTTCTGTAACACTCTATATTTGTTTAGAAAGGTCACTGTTGTCAAGATATTGAATGTTATCTCTGGAGTAGACAGGAAGAGAAGCTTTTGAAAGCAGGCCAAGAATATTAAAGCAACAGATATTAAGGTGTAAAGCAGAATTTAAAAGCTTGGACTATTGTATTAAAAAGACCTTAGTTCAAATCCCAGCTCCACCAACTGCTAGTGAAATGACCTTAGGAAAGTAATCAGTTTTCTTAATCCATCTTTCCCACATAGAAAACTGAGGTAAGAATACTGCAGAAGGATATTACGACTATAAAATTATGTCACATATATCACTGGCTTATAGTTACAACTCAAATTACCTACTCAATAATTACTATTTTCTGTTGAATCTTTCTTGGTTGTCTTTAGTTTTGCATGAAACCAAAAATGTCATCTTTTTATAGACATTTCTTCAGACAGCAAACTGAAGTTTAAATACAGACTGACAATATAAGGTATGTATAAAATAAGTGGATTTAAAGCTTGTCACTAAAACATTAGTCTAAAGCATGTAAGCAGTACTTGCTTTTAAAAAAATACTTATAAGCTATTACTTTATTGGTGCAATGGATGGGTTGTATTACTGAAGAATAAATAAAAAGCAGTTACAAATCAGCAGTTCAGTGAGACTAATCAAGTTGTTTTACTGAACTACTGTTATAGTATCCTGATACGTTACAAAATAGTTTCTTAGCAAAGGTAGTTTTTAAAAAATATTTCACTATGGTACTATGCACAAACTATTACGGTTAGAGGATAATCCAGAATTAACTTATACACACTCTTTAAAATCCGTCTAGATTGGCAATGTGCTTAAACACACACAAATAGTGCCAAGGGGACAAAGATACTAAATAGTAAGCAGTGAGCTGCTTGCTGTGCACATGTGACAGACCCAGGTTGTTCTATTCCTGGCACCACTTACGATCCCCCAGAGCACTGCCAGGGGTGATCTCTAAGCACAGAGTCAGGAGTAAGCCCTGGGCACCCCTAGGTGTAGTCCAAAAACAAACTATATGTCACATACATAAATACCAATGTGTATGTATATATCACACACTTTATAAAACAGCTCAGTTGAAAAAACCGTTTAGAATGCTGCCATGAAACAATGTTTTCAACTCAGCAAGCAAGATTCCAGCTATATTTATGTAATTCATCAATGATGGCCTAATATTTTACTGGCACTTTGGTAGAAACAGCCATAATGATGTGCTGAACTGTATTATCCCCACATCGACTGACTTTCCCCAAATCAAAGTAGGCACCATCTGCTGGAGCAAGAGCTACGACTGGGTTAGAAAAGAACATACCAAATTCTTTTCCACTTTAAATATAAAATGTCATATCACTTCCTGTTATCAATAATAGTATTTGTCATCAATAATGACAGGCACACGAGCGCGCACACGCACACACACAAACACACACACACACAGCGCGCACGCACACACACACACACACACACACACACACACACATCTTCCAAATGAACTAATAAAAAGGCTCCTGCTTTATACTGACCAAAGACTATGAGAATTAAAAACACATTTCAAATTCTTGGATCCAGCCAAGATGGCTACCTACATGGCAACAAGAGTCTGATACTGAACTGAACTGAAGTCAATAAAGAGAAGTAGATTGTAAAAATTGATTATTACACAGAGTAACATGGGCTGGAGCGATAGCACAGCGGGTAGGGCGTCTGCCTTGCACGCAGCCAACATGGCCAACCCGAGTTCGATTCCTCCGCCCCTCTCGGAGAGCCCGGCAAGCTACCGAGAGTATTCGATATGCCAGACACAGTAACAACAAAGTCTCCAATGGAGACGTTATTGGGCCCGCTCGAGCAAATCGACGATCAACAGAGTAACATATATATTGGAAGTTCTCCTGAGCAGCCTTCAATAACCAACTTGCTTATATCAATTCACACGTTATGTCCACTCTACTTTAACAGATTTCTGTGGCACACTGAATACACTGTAGATTTTGTTCTAGAATCTTCAGTTCTCTTCCCAAATGTTGAATAGTATGCTTTCAGAACCAGTGTTATTTGTAATAAAAAATCTCAGTGTGGAGTTTATAATTATCAGTTAACATCATAGTTTGTAAGCCAAGAAAATACATATAAAAGGCATTATATAATTTCAAATCGTGTGTGTGTGTGTGTGTGTGTGTGTGTGTGCGCGCACGCATGAGCGCATGTGTAGGCAGGGATGAATGCATGGCCTTCTACATACAAAGAATGTGCTCTACCACTGAGCCAGTGGCTGGAAAGAGAGGAAAGAGAGTACATACAGAAGGCAAAGTGCTTGCCACAAAACAGATAACCTAGGATTTATCCCCAGCACTGCTCAAGCACAGAGTTAGGAATTTCTCTTGAGTACCACCAGGTGTGGTCCCCAAACACCTAACAAAATATAAATTTAAAAGCTTTGAAAAGACTCAATAAAGGCAAGTCACCTCTAAACATTGTTGTGGAAATATACAAAATAAAATACTGCGGAAAAGTCATGAAACATTCTCAAAGTTAAAACGAAGAGAATACTATGTCCCACTCCTTCAGTTTCTGAACCAGTAGGGATGGGGTGAAACCAAAGAAATTGCCATATGATACTGATAATGCTTGCTTGGAAACCACACTTTTGGAAGACAATTACTTGGAATTCCTTAAAATTTTAGTCTACATTGAATAAACAATATATAGAGGCCAGAGACATTTTAGGACCATAGGGCACTCGTATGCAGCCATCCCAGGTGCAATTCCTTCACCGTGCATGTTCTAAGCCCTGCCAAGAGTGATTCCTGAACACAGAGCCAGGAATAAGCCCTGAGTAATGCCGGATGTAGCCCATAAACCAACAATATAACAATAATTAAAAAGAAACTAAGTATAAACTGGAAATTCTTTATTGGGATATATTAAAGAAAAATCTGGAATTTCATCAGCAAACCTATACCACAAAGAAAAGATTTTTATATTAATCCAAAATATCCCACTTACAAAGGCAAAACAAAACAACCTTCTGGCTAATCAAACATCTTAAGTTAACAAGGAGATTGGATAAGAGAAAAAGCTTGAGAAAGGGATCCAAAGAACTGTGGTGGAAGGAAACTGGCACTTTTGTGGTGATTGTATACATTAACACTGACAGGGTTTAAAATTGTATTCCTGAAACTATGTTCAAGAAGTGCCTTAGGTTTACAACGAAGTCTAATGCATCTAATAATATGCCACTCTGGACTGCTTAGAACAGCGCAGAAGAACCAACCCAAAGATGGTAACCACCCATCATTCAACCACTACAGCAAGCTTGTCATTTTAAAAACTAGAGTGATAAAAAGAGTATCTCAGATATGCATTACCAAGTAGTGATGCATTCCTACAGTACCATGTAAATTCTAGTGCAAAGAACATCGTATTTGTTAAACTATAAAGAAATTCAAATGCCAGTTTTATAGAACCAATCTAATATGTTTAGGGCACTTGGTTCTTTTTTATGTTGCTATTTTACTGTGTTTTCACTTATTTCAAATAGTGTTTGAGAGCACAGTATAAGGAATTATAAAGAATAGAGAAAATCCTGTAAATCTTCTAAAGTACCTCATTTACTGAGAAAATAAGTAAGACCTAATCACTATATTAAAAGCCTAGAATTGAGTTACTACATACCCACAATTTTTGGGGAAAACCAAAAGCAAAAAGACAAGAGCAAGAGAAACTAAGATAAACTGAAATCCTAGTGTGCTATTGATGAGAATGTAAAGTGATGCAGCAATTTTAAAAAAATAGTACGGAGTTTCCTCAAAACACGAACAACAGAATTATCATATATGCTAGCTATCCCACACTAGAGAACAAAGAAAACAAAAAATGAAACCAAAAACAGGGTCTTAACAGGTCAAGAATATAACTGAAAGCACTGGAGCATGCAAGAGCTCTGGAAAAAAAGGAGCTCTGGGCTAGATCACCATCACCATCACCATATGGAGCCTAGAGCATCGTAAGAAATGGTCCCTGAGCACTGAAAGTACAGTCCCCCAAATGAAAATAAAAAAAAGATCTCAAAGATTTGTACACCCATGTTCACTGTGACACTGCTCACAGGAGCCAAGACATGGAAGAAACCTAAATACTCATAAGTGGATGGATGAAGAAAACATGGCATGTGTACAGAGCGGAATATTGTTCCGTTTATGTTATCTCAACTACAATAAAAATAAGTGAAACAATAATGCAGGCCAGGGCACAGCCACACATCAAATTTCAACTCTTAGAAAAAAAAAATGAACACAAGTTCTATAAAGAAAGAAATATATGCTACAAAATGGATAAACCTTAAGAACTAAGTGAAATAACAGTCACAGATGGTCAAATACTGCATGATTCCATTTTTATGAGATATCTAAAACAGTCAAACTTTTAGAACCAGAAAGTGAAATTATTCTTCAATGGGGACCAAGTTTCAGTTTTGCAAGATAAAAATGTTCTAGACATCTGTTGCACAGCAGTTAACAGTGTACACAGTTAACATTACTGAACTATACACTTAAAAATGGTTAACATGGCTTAAAAACAAGGAATGAAAATGTCTTGAAAACTGAAAGGTAATAGAAAAAATATTGAAAAAATTCAATATAACTTCTGCTTGTGAAAACAGTAGTCTTGCAATATCAAACTTAATTTTAGCATTTTAATCTTTAAACATTAATGTATGTAAAATTCAAATAATCTCTTAAATTCGCTATTTATTATGGAAAATAGGTATGCCATATCAGAATCATTTGGAGTTCTTTTAAAATATTACTTATTCTCACCCAGAGAGATGCTCCCAGTTGAGTGAGCCATCATTACTGATGCAACTGTGCTATATTCTTCAACAGTGCTGGGACTGAAAACAGATTGAGAATTTCATTTTTAAATGATAGTTTAAATAAGCAATAAAATAAAATCTAATCACTTTTCCTATAATTAGGAAATTACATATATCGTTTGATATAATTAAATATTCTTCACACCATAAAGCTAAGCATGGTTTTTATTTTCTGAAAGCATATGAAATACATTATGTGACAGCTCTAAACTACATGGAACAATCCCTGTTGTACAATTCCACTGGACTGGGCCCCCATGGAAAAAGAAGCAACAATATATGGAAAATGCAGACAGATACACCTCTGAAGCTCATGCAATATTCTCTCCAGTACATTTCTCCTTTCAAGCTTGCCTATGTGCATTTATCTACAGACGCCATTTTCCCATAATCTCTCTCCTATTCTCCAAACTCCTTTGCACATCTATCTTACAATTAGAGAAAGAAAAGTTACACTTTTTCTACCCAAATTTACCAAAAAAAAAAAAAGCCTCTTATTTCCATATATTGCTGTTTCATCTCCAGGAAAACAAAACTATCATTTAAGAACCCTAGGTTATGGAACTGGAAATTGTGTAGTGTGGTTAAGACACTTTCTTGCACCCAGCCAACCCAGGTTTGATCCCTGGAATTGCATGTGGTTCTCTGAGCCCACAAGGAATGATCCCTTCATACGAAGTCAGGAGTAAGCCCTGAGCTCAGTCTGAGGAGGCCACAAAAAATAAAACAACCAACTATGGAGTTAATGAAATCTTTTCACACAAATTTAGCTTTTTCTTACACCATATGCAGGAGTAGTGCAACAGTTCCACTACTACAGAATAACAACACTTTTTAAAGTCACAAAAAAAATATAAAAAACCTATTGGTAAGTGGCACTATAGTAAAATTAACCCCTAAAAGATATCTGTGAGCCAACAGTCTGTTGGTGAAAGTATCTTTTTCAAATGTATTAATTAAAAACTTATAGACACATCAAGAGCATGGCAATTACAAATTATAACCTCTATTCCCTGGATATATCTGAACTTGCAATGCCCCTTATTTCTCAATTTTTTTCTTCTTTTTGAGTCACACCCAGCAATGCACAGGGGTTACTCCTGGCTCTGCACTCAGGAATCACTCCTGGCTGGCTGTGTTCGGGGGACCATATGGGATGCTGGGAATCGAACCTGGGTTGGCCACGTACAACGCAGACGCCCTACCTGCTGTGCTATCACTTCAGCCCCTCAATTCTTGACCTCTTCATATTATATCAAAAATCTCTAGTATGCCAATTTCATCCTTTCACTTGTTTCCTTCACTATAATTTTTTAGTTATTTTCTTAATGGTTGTCCTGGAAATTACAATTAACATTTTAACTTCAAATGTTCGAGCTTGAATAAATTATAATTTAATTTCAATAATACGTAAAAACTTTCTTCCAATGTACCTGCTTTTTTCCACTGTGTTCTTATCATTATCAAACAAACCACACATTTATAAGCCCATGGGCACAGATGCATGGCTATTGCTTTCTCTAGCTGGATTTTAAAATGAAGGGAAAATTACCAAAATGCATTTATATGCATGTCTTTAATACCTACACCACTAGTCAGTACTTTTTTATATGGATTTAAAATTCACGAGTTTGTTGTCTGATACCCTTCATCTTGAGGGAATTTCTTTTCTAATGGCAAAATTGCTACTTAATTTTTTTTTTGTAAAGTTCTTAACTTCTCCACCTTTGACTAAATGCTTGGCTAAACTAGAATTTCTAGTCCTAGGAATTCCTAATTTCTCATTTTTAACACTTTGAAAAATATTTTTTAGTCTCCATGATTTCTGGTAAGAAGTCAGCTACAAGTCTTACTGAGGATACTTTTTAGATGGAAAGTTATTCTCTTGCTGCTTCAAAGTAACGTGTTTTTGACTCTTGGAAATTTGATTACGCCATGTCTAAGGATGATCAATATGGGTTTACTCTATCTAGGTTATGGTATTTTAATGTATAAATTAATTTTCATCAAGTTTGGAAAGTTTCTTTAAATTATTTCTCATCTCTTTTGTGGACTCCCATTACACATATGTTGCTATACTTGATTGTGTCTCACTTTCAAATTCCATAATTTTGATATGGTTCTTTAAAAAGTATTTCTGCTTACTGAGTTATCTTTGGTGAGACAACATTCTCACACTTTATTTTTTTTTTTAATTTTTATTAGTGAAACACTTTGAGGTACAGTTGTAGACTTACGAATTTTTTGCTTGGGTTTCAATTATACAATGATCAAATACCCATCCCTCCACCAGTGCCCATTTCCCACCACCACGGGTCCCTGTACCCCTCCCACCCCCCACCCCACCCCCCCCATCCCACCCTGCCTCTGTGGCAGGGCATTCCCTTTTGTTCTCTCTCTCTTATTGGGTGTTGTGGTCTGCCAAAGAGGCATTGAGTGGCAATCATATTTGGTCTATAGTCTACTTTCAGCATGCATCTCTCACCCTGGGAGGTTCCTCCCAACACCCTTTATTTGGTGCTCCCTTCTCTGAGCTGCCTTTCCCCCATCACACTTTATTCCTGAAACACAACTTTATTTAATTCTTTGAACAAACATTTTAGCTGTCTTAGCAAAACAGTCTATTATGTCCAGATCTGGGCTTCTGCCTGAACATTTTTCTGTTACCTACTTGCTTTGTTTGGTTTCTGTATACATAGTTTACTTTCAAATTTATATACATATATATTTTTATTGGGGCTGGAGCAATAACACAGCGGGTAGGACGTTTTTGCCTTGCACGCGGCTGACCCACGTTCAATTCCTCCACCCCTCTCGGAGAGCTGGGCAAGCTAGGAAGAGTATCTTGCCCGCACGGTAAAGCCTGGCAAGCTACCTGTGATGTATTCGATATGCCAGAAGCAGTAACAACAAGTCTCGCAATGGAGACATTACTGGTGCCCGCTCAAGCAAATGGATGAACAATGGGAGGACAGTGCAACAGTGCTATATTTTTATTGAAAACTAACCTTTCAGATGTTTTCACACCTCATTAGAATCTCCCATACCTAACCAAGTGTTTTTATTTTTAACCCACTGACATTGCACATTTTCTTAATGCCACTATTTGCCTAGAAGCTTTATGAACAACTAGACTCAGTTATACACAATAAAAGATTCTATTACTCAATGTCGTATGCATTCACTGAATCCTCTAGATTTGTTTTCTTTTTTCTGTTGGGTTTGCTTGGTGACTTTAAGGGGACCTTGGGTTCAATCCAGGAAATCCTCAGCAAGTCTGGCCACAGAAACAATGAAAAGGCCCAAAGATACAGTGTTGCTCAGACCGCTGGGAAGATGATCAGTTCCACCCCCAGGGGAATTAAGTCTTCCAGAGCTATACCCAGCACTATGGGGGGTCGGGAGGGGGCCACGGTGGTATTCAGGATAGGACAGAGAAGAAAGGCATGAGCCCCAAGACTTATGCCATTTTCCTGGTCCCTCTTGAGATTCATTTTGACCTGTACCATCTTGAGATTTGTTTTTAATGTTTTTTTTTAACCTGATTTTTAGAGGAGCAATACTCGAATCCATAATTTTGTGATCAGTGACTGGTGTCAGGAGACTTCCTTAAGCCTACAAGTCATTCACCTTTGTCAAGAGATATTTACGAGCCATCACACCTTCAAATCCAAGTCTGCTTATGAAACAGTGCTAAGTCTTCCATCTCCGCTTACACGGTGTCTCAGAATCACACAGAGAGAATCATCTCCTTCTCTTGATCTTTCCTGGGCACGTGTACAGCCTTGCATATCATGAAGCCTTAATAGATACCTGGGAGTATGTTAGAGCTTTTCAAAGTTCCTCTGTGGCTGGCTAAAGCTCCAGGATTCCTTTTTAAATTTCTGGCCAGGCTTTCTTTACCCAACTGAGATCACAGCCTTAAGCAGTGGAAATGCTGCCAATAGTTGCTGTTGTTTTCCAGCAAAGCCCTGGGGGTACACTTTTTTTTTTCCCTCAACTGAGCTCAGCTCTGAGTCAAATCAAATAGCCAACCACTCAGACAATAACATTTTCCCAGGGAGCTGCAAGTTTGGGGAAAAAAATATAGCATTTGTACTCTGAGCTGGTGCTCTTCCTGGATGTGCAAAAGTGGTCAGACATCTGTATCACATACAATGCTGCCGGATTTTACAATAATGCTATGCTGGGGAAAGGAAGGAAAACGGGAATAGTTACAAGTTTGTTCCTGACTCCACTGACTTCCAAGGGTGCAGTCCTTTTCTCTTAGACAGCTTTGAGTTCACTCTCTAGTTTTGGCTAATTTCCAGAATTCTGAAATGGTTGATAGTAGCTGTCCAGTTGATGTTTTGCTTTAGAGGAGAAGAAAGGCCACTAAAGCCCTAACATGAAATTAACCTCTAATATTTTTAACTCTATTTCATTCATTATTAAGACATTAAAAATAAATTTAAGCAAAATATTTTGCTAGAAATTTATAGTGTGGTTTAGTACGTTTCATTATTGGGGCAGAGGGGTGGGGGCGTTGAGGCAAAGCTGGGTACCAAACTCAGACTAAAACACGTAAACAATATTGAGTCCCTCCAGTTACAAATTTTCCTATCACAGTATAATACAAACTTGGGGGAAAATTATATGAGCATAATGTTTAAGGTTAAACAGTGAGAAAAAAAGCCTGATCAGTGAGAGGGACAACCTCAGGAGCAATTTCACTGTATTTGAAGTTACTACATAAATGACAAAACAATTAGGGTGGTGTCTGACATTAGATCTAGTCTTGACTCCAAAGGCCTCCCAAGTCTTATCTGAACAAGGAACAAATTCAAGGCAGAAATGCTATTTCATCTTTTCTGACTTGACTTGTCTGGTCCAAATCCAATCCAACTCTGACAGGGAGAAAAAGAGTCACAGAAGACTGAGAGTAAAAAAATCAACAGAGAAGACTTGAATTTAAAAAGCAACCATCTCTCTGGAGATTTCTCTGGAAATTCAATACAGACAAACTGCATTTGTCTCAG